CAGACCAGTGGTCTGTCAAATGTAACCATTGGTGTATCTCACACCAATGTGAAACCCATTGTCGTAATCAAGTGGCTACATGTAGCCACTTGTGTGTAACCCCGTTACAATGCACATGTTCTGTGCGTGGTGGTTAACTGCGCGCGTGACGTTGAGGGGCCCACGCGTCGACAATAGTCCTCTGTTGATGGTGGCTTCCTGATCCTGTTCCACAAATATATTTTATGATATTCCCCAAGGTTTTTTTTTACTTTTATGAATGAATGAATCGCATTTTATTCTGGCCAATCGGATTCATTGTATCTTCTTCTGATGAATTGATCGCTCGTTGTATCATTCTCCTGATAAATATCCGCTCGCCAGCCTTTCATTTCGAGATCTGCGCCCGAGAAGAGACCATCACTCCTGTTTCGAGAATATGTACGCCTACGCTACCGAGAAAACGTTCGCCCATATGTGGAACGAGCTTACCAAGAAAGGCTAGAAGTTTTGAAAGTCGTTGGGGCTGAGCGACGATCGGAGGTATCTGCCGCCGGGTGGGAGTTTCAAAGGAACGGAAGGCGTTGACTATTTCCTCGGTACGTTACTTATGGACACTGTTTCATGCTGCTTTACTATCTAACCCTTATTGGAATAGGTGACATGAGTCTAATGGACTATTGCCGAAGGCAAGGGTGGCTATCGTTTGACCCTTCACCAAACCCAACGCCGTCCACCGCGTCACCAGTTGCTTTTTGACGTTGCCTGGTGCTGCTCCGACCCCCGATCCACACACGACAATGAAAGTGAGTTTTCAGCCGCAGCGAAAGATGCGCCACGACAGCCGAGGCCTGCAGCAAAGGCTAACCCTCGTGACAACACGCCCAGGTCGCACGCAGTTGAACGAACACCACAACGGCCAGCCAACACAAGTCTTCAGCGTCAAGCCAAGCTTCTAAACTACGTCGCGCTGGTAAGTTTATCAGTTGGCCTCTCTGCTTGAGCTCTACTAACGTATTTATAACGGATTGTACAGAACCCCCTATTCCGGATACCACCCAAGTTGTTCCAGATACTACCTACCAGACTGGTCCGGATATTCCTGCTGAAAGGACTTATAGTCCGGAAGTGGCAATTCGGGAAGCACTGAATGCCGCGCTTGCTGGTCTCCAAACCGGTGTCTCTCTTGACGATTTTGATTCTGATGACTTTATCAATGCCCTGCGGCGGGACACTTTATTCGAAGATCTCGATGCTGATGTTTTCAACAGGGGAGGAGGGGACTGGTTGCGAGCCCTAGATTCGGATGCAGAAGGTGACGAAGAGCTTATTCTCCAAGATGGAAATGATGATGAATCTGTGGACGACATTGCTTCAGTTGCCAGTGACGAGAGTGGTGACAATCTTGCGAATGAAGATGATGATGTTCCTGTGGAATTTGATCTGACTAGTGAAGACTTGGATAACCTCCGCGCAGGAGGCTGGGACGTCTACATGGAGCAGCAGTCTTGTCAAGTACTGCACGAGGGCTCTTCTCTCTATGTTGGTCCGTCTGGTCCAACCCGCGCTGCCTTAGCTTACGCTGAAAACCCATTGGCGATCTTCTATTTCTTCTTACCGAAGGAGCTGTGGCGAAAATCGCAATAAAACGAGCAAGTTTCGCCGAGACAGCGCGGATCTATCGCCCAGCAGATGCGAGCACGTGCCCTTCTCCGTCGTGAGACCGTTTCGTCGACTGCTGTACTCACTACCGAGGATTACAGAAGAAAGTTGGAGCGCAAGAGCTCAATACAGCCCCATGAGGTTGTTCGCTTTATTGGACTACTTGTCGCGAGAACGCTGGAGCCGCGCCGAGAGAGTCTCAGTCGTCATTGGATTACGAAGGCTGAGCGTGCACTATCCCGCGGTGCATTCGGACAGTCCATGAGTCGGGATCGTTTCCACGACATTGCTCGCTACTTGCATTTCAACGACAATGCCCGGTAGCACGACAGTGCAGATCGTGCGTTCAAGATCCGTCCTATTTTTCAAGCTTTGCAGAAGACATTCTTCCGCGGGTATCGGCTTGGTGCGCGAATTTCGTTCGATGAGGGGATGGTGCCAATGCGCCAGTACATGTCCAACAAGCAGAACAAGTGGGGTACGAAGTTCTACATGATGTGCTGCGCAGACACCGCGTATTGCTCGAGGGATGTTGTACGTTTATTACGGATATCCGGTACATGTGGCGGATATCCGTGGTAGTTTTGGTTCAGTGAATCCGTAATGTGTTCCGCACGATCCGTATTGTATTCACATTATCACTAACAATACGGTGTGTTTTTATGTGTAGACTGGAAATTTACTGCGGGAAAGCGAACGCTAACGAAGACGCTGTGGCGCAGCGAGCTGTGGTGAAGAATGTGACGCGCGTACTACAAGGAATGCCTTCTCAAAGGCTTATTTGTACAGACAATTTTTATACGTCATTCCCGCTATCGGGCAAACTCCTCAGTATGGGCCACTACCACGTCGGGACCATTCGCAAGGACCGGAAAGGGTGGTGTAAAGCGATTGACTTTACGCAGAAAAAGAGACCGAAGAAAATGGCAAGAGGAACTTTTCGAATAGCTAAATGAAGATATCGCCCCGAATTCGTAGCTCTGCCGTGGTTGGACAGCAAGCCAGTTACTTTTTTAGCGCCTGGTTGCTCCACCAAATTACTCACGTCTCCCGTAGAGAGCCCGGCGGATCCATCTCCCAAGTCCCATGCAGCGCTCCATCCGCATGCGAAAGTACTACAAGACCATTTTTCTCGGTTTAGTGGATATTGCTATGGTAAATGCTTTCATCATTCACAAGATCGCCCTGCGTCGTCTCAACAAACCCGTTCCCACGCATGCCGTGTTCATGCGGCGACTACGTATTGCCCTATTGAGCCAGATGATGACTTAGCAGACCTCGTGACCAAGCCACTTCCTCGAAGCGCACACACGCTCGAGAAGACGGAAGAGAAAAACGGAAACAAGCGCCGCCAGTGGCTCTGGAAGGTCTGCTCAGCGTACGCGGGTCCTGGCGTCCGCAACTTCGAAACGAGCTATTTTTGCGCGACATGCTCAAGAGTCAAGAAGGGGCGCGTTACTCTATGCAATAAGGCTCGCCGACTAGACCACGGTAGCGCTCTCACCTGCAACGAAGTATGGCACCAGAGCTAGCGCAATGGCATGGCTATTCCTGCTGAGATGCAGCACAAAATCCGGTTTGTAGAGACGCGTAGACGCGAGGTCTGTAGCGAGAGTGAAGAAGACTAATGAATGGCACTTGGAAATGATGTTCACATTTGTTGTGCTGTCGTTTGGGTAAGGCCTAACAGTTTTGCAGGGAGATCGCAATTGACAGTAATTAGAACGATTTTCGTACTGCCCATCTCTAACGAACAGCCAATCACATTCTCTAGGCAATCCACGTGTCACACAAAAGCGCTGCATACATGATATAAAGTACTGATTTCCCGGTATACTTTACTTCATATGTTATAATCACGGATAATCCGGAACAGCCTTCGTATTAGAAGGGTTAATATTTACGCCTTAACTCTGATTTATAGATCATGCTTTCAGATTTAGGTTATAAACTCGTAGATCCTACATACTTCCTCCGGGATGGAATAATTGCAACATTGTACTTTTTAAGGGAAAATCACCTCTATAAACAAATCATGTTACTCTGTAAACGAATGATTCATGAACGCAGTCGTAACACATGGCGGCGCTGATGGTGCTCTGCTCTGACGCCCGAACAAACAACCACCACTCCGGATCGCTCCTGACGCGAGGCCCCACACGAACAGCATGACGACTTGCCACGCCCAGGGCCTCCGAAATATATATTTACTATAACATTATTTACCACAATTCTTAGTAAATTATTTATTTCAAAGATCTATACCTGACCATGTGATAATTGATTTTCTGTATAGGTATGATTTCATAATTTATTAAAGGTTCTCTTATACAATAATTTTCACAGCAACCAGTCGTTTTTGGACCACCGATCGACTACAACCTTCTCTGGGTCTTCTCAACTGTCAGCTATTTCGCATTTTTGTCAATACGCCTCACCTGCTTCCAGCCACTCTTGTAACTACCATGGTTCTTACCACACGACCCGGCAGCGCCTACACCAACGCCCAGATCTCGGGGTTCTACTTCCGACCGTGTCGTGGCGAGTATGACGAGGTGATCCTCGAATACTTCCGCTGAAGATCTTTCGTTTGTCGAACGTCTTCGTAAGCGCCGCCGGATTGCCGGACCCGCTGTTTCCTACGAGCAATTGAAGACGATTCCACCAACGTCTAACGTGGTGGAACGCTTTTTTAGTGTGGCGCGGGTGACATTTGGTCACCAAAGACAAGGGTTGCAACCTGCAACGCTGGGTATGATCTTATTCCTCCGTGAGAACCGTTGTTATTGGGATTCTAGCACGGTCAACAGTATCAATTGATACCGTACATGTACATGTTTCTCAATGGAGAACTAAGGTAACACATTTTAGTGGTCTCCATTACTCCGTTATTTATTTGCCGTCTTCGTTTAATGACATAATTTATTTGATAGAGTATAGAGGAGATAACGCATAATGTATGATGTCTTTGTCTACTAAATAAAAATGCCAAATTCGGAGGCCCTGGCCACGCCTGCGTCCAGAGTCTGAGAGTTTGGATTAGAAACGATCGTGGAAGTGGCCATGCGTGCCGGAAATGGCGAGTGACTGGTGTTAAAGATGCTGAAAAATGTGCAATAGTGATCTGGTGGAGAGGACTCTTTCCGCCATAACTTCCGCGTTTGAAGAGCTCCTTTCGCGCTTAAACCAGCGTTGAAATGAGGAGATCAAACCGCGTCGATTTCACCAAAATCAGCACCTAGAAACCGTCCCTTAAGGAGAAACTGCACTTTGGCTTATGGGGATTGTGACGAGAGGAAGTAAATGCTAGTTGTGAGCAAACGTTGCATCCCCCCCCCCCCCCCCATTTATTTACAAATAAATATTAAAAACGAAATTTTGCCCAATCAGATCATTCTGCATCCAGCTTGGAAAGCTTGATTGGCTAGAACTAGCAGTGGCTCGCAGCGAACCGTGGCCTCATACATTTTCAAGGCAAATTCGGTCAGCAATGGACACCGAGCTGATCCTCGAACCGCCAGACGCGCCGGACGTCGTTGTCGACGAGAGCGACCATCACTCCAAGACCCCAGAGGACCCAGGCACAACCGTCGCGGATGCGGTCAACGATGTGGCTCTGGCCGCCGCCTCCGTCCCCATGGGTCGTCGACGCGGCCGCGGGCGAGACAAGACCGAGGCGGCCATAGCGTTGCCCAGCTTCATCTGGGACTATTTCGTGAAAGACGCGAGCGGCAAGTTCGTCATCTGCACGTTGTGCCCCGCACAGACCACGCGCTTCGCCTATTCGGGTGGAACTAGCACCATGAACCGCCATTTAAGAAAGAAACACCAGAAATACGCGCCGGGTAAGTGCGCAGCAGACTACGAGTACCCGAGAGGGGTCCATCGACGCCCAGTTCAGCTCCAGGCGATCACATCGCCCGCTGCCACGTCATCAGCCAATGCTGCTGGCTCTGGTCTCCTAATGTCGGCGGATACTGCGGGTGTGTTAGGCACGTTGTCTCCTAGCGATCCACTGGGCAGCAAGCAGAGGCATCAGCTCATAGAGCTAAGGACAGCGAGAAGACGGGCAGCAAGTGGAGGCGCAGCAGCTAAACGAAGGAAAGTCGTGGATCAGACGGAACAAGCCGCGTCGTTGACGGTCGCAGGGACGGAATTTGACCCCTCGGGCTTCGTAACGCTACCAGGAGGCTCCACAGCCACTGCGACGTCGGGGGCGTTGCAGTTCCCCGCAGGTTTTGAGCTCAATGACGCGGCAATTGAGATGGCCGGCGTTGGGTTGGATCAGAGATTCTTTGACTATTCTACACTCACAGGGACATCGAGTACAGGACTTCGAGGACGACGACACAGCTCCAGTATCAGCGGGACTAGTGGCGGGAATGCCAATAGCGCAGCGAATCAGAAGATCCTGACGCATCGACTGTTGAAATACCTGATCGCACAGTACGAGCCCTTGGATGTCTCTCATATGGGAGCAGAGCTGAGTATGCTGCTCTTTGGAGGGTCGACAGAGTGGCCCGGACTAAACTTTGGATACGGAGGAACTCTGGGATTTGGTTTGAATGGATCTGTGCCTAAACTCCCGTCAGAAGACACGATCAAATTGGCTCTCGCTAATCTGTATTATTCACAGCGGGAGATACTAAAGGAGGTTATGGCTGACGTGGAAGTTCTGAGTCTGTCGCTGAATAACTGGACGTCAGTGTTTGGCCAGAATGTGCTCACAGTCAGTGGACACTGGATCTCTCGTGGCTTTCGACGTCGTGACTGTGTGCTGGAAGTGTATGTGTTGCCGCTGGATGAGCGTGTCAACACCATCGCACTGCTTCGAGATGTCATGGATAAGTGGGAGATCCCGTCGTCCAAAGTTGCAGCGCTGACGATGCGTCCACACACGTCGACTACTAATACGGCACAAGAGGAGGATAACGACAGTCCGAGGACAATGGCACAGGCACAGGCAGAAGCTGAGGCGGAGGCTACTGCAATTCATAGTGAATATCCTGGGTTGGCCGTCGTCAGATGCTTTGTAGAAGAGCTCGAGGGAGCTGTGTCGACTGGGTTACGTGAGTGCGCTGATCTTACGCGTAGATGTCGGAACTACGTGTCATATTTCATACAAAACCCGTCTGAGTACCAGATTTTCCTCGCTTTACAACGCAGTATGGGTGAAGAGGCCTGTGCTGCCTCGGCAGCGTCAACACAGACAGCATCCATGGCAGCCACAGCGGACGGCGTTAGTGTGAGCGTCGCTGAGAGTGGAAACACTACGATAGGGGATGAACTGGACGGGGTCAAGGAAGGACAGAACGCAGACGCAGCTACAGACGACACCGCATCTTCTGCTCAGAGCTCAAGCTCTACATCAACGGCCAGCGGCTCGAATGGCAACATCGGCGAGTCTTTGCCCGTGATCTGCGACTTTGACGACCGCTGGAACTCCACAACTCAAATGATGTGTCGAATTGTGGAGCTGGAGTTAATGCTGCTACGGTACAAGACTGGCCTGGAAAGCGATACGAACCCTGCTCGCAGACCCATGCAGCTTCGCTTTGTGTGTTGTGAATTGTCTCCTGAGGAGTGGGCGTCGTTGAAACAACTTGCTCGATTATTGGACCCTATCGAAGGTTTGGTACACGTTTCGCCACTCGCGTATCCTGGGTTATCGATCGTGTATCCGCTCTTACACTCGTTGAAGAAACACTTGGCCGATGCTGGTACTTGGGTCACGGACCCGCTGGTTGCAACTGTACGCCATACTATCGTCAACAACCTTAATATGGACTTGTGTTCGTCAGGCGAGGCCCCATCATCGCCGTATTTGTCGTGTCTACTGGACCCACGCTTTAAGTCTCTGCCGTTCTTACCAGTTTCAGAGAAGGAGCGATTGGTGGAATCGCTCTACTTGCTCCTTGGAGTAAACGACAAGGACGACGTTGATGTGGATCAACATGATCCAACGACCGAAGAAGACCAAACGGATGAACACAAAAAGCAGAACCAGAGTGCAAAAACTCCCAGTGGCTCCGCCACAAACGCGAAAAAGGCTGCAGCTTTGTTGCATGAGTTTTTCCCGCTTGACGAGCCTGCGACTGAGCTTGACAAGCTGAAAACGCAAGTGCAACAATATCTAGACTCGCCGTCCTTACCAGCGACGGACGAGAGCGAGCATGACCCGTTGGAGTGGTGGAGTCGATATCAGCGTTTATTCCCGTCGCTGGCTCGATTGGCTAAAAAATACCTGTGTATCAGTGCTGTTTCAACACCATTTCAAGAAGCTTTTACGAGTTATGGCCAGTTGATGAGGGAGAAGAAAGCGCGACTGGACATCGAAGTGGCAGCGCAAGTGCTCTTCTGTCGTAGCGTTTCGAGGATCCCGGAGATGGAACGCATCGGTGTGTAAGGAATGCTATGCTTTTACCATTGCTTGGTGCTGGAATTCTGTTTTAACGGGTATCAACCGATTGTCATTTTCGTTAAATATCGACAATTCCTCATTTCGAACCTACCTTTGGGCTAGATGAGGGACATTTAAACACTTTTTACTCGCTACAATGCTACAGAAACTCACAAAAACACAGGAAACGATCGATACTTCACTTGTAGAACTTGCTCATGACGCGGAAGACGCACTTGTCGACATTTTCGGCGATTCGTTGCCACACGCTGCGTCGGTTGGACTTTGCTGCGTACGAAAAGTCCCACGAATCATCGAAGACGAAGTCACCACGTCGAGTGGACATCGCTGGCGTAGTGTGTCGAGTCCAGACGCCTTCGTTCGTCGGCTTGGGTCGCTCGGGGCCCATGGACTGCGCAAACCGGTTCACTGGAGACGCCGGCAATGCACTGAGCGACGAGATCGAGATGGAACCGCTGCGTGCTCGAGGCATTTTGCCTCGGCGAGACTTGTATGGCTGTTGGGCAGCACAGTGGTGCACTTGGCGGCTGCTTAAGAAAGGATAGTTGGGGTCGTTGCTCATGCTGAAACGTGCGTCAACCACGAAGTAGCGGGGCATCTGTGGTAGTTAAGGATGTTGCTTTGGAGTTGGCGGATTGGAATGTGAAGTGGCTTATAGTTTGTCTGAGGTCACGCTGGACTGCCTTGTGTTTGAGATCTCGCTTCTGTGGAGTGGTGGATGATGCACGACAGGCTAGATGAGATCAATCCAGCGAGAATGCAGAGAATGCTGCAACTGGCTGCTTAGCTCGAATCTGCTGAAAGCGATCTCCAGTATCAGCCGACTCTATTTGGGTGGCCCATGCTACAATTTCGAATCTGGTGCTTGTGGGTGAACCACGGCGCAGCTTCACGTTTGCTACTGCTGATTTTCAGCATCTGCAGAATATCTTACGAACGTTGCAATTCTACTTTACAGCGATAGTGTTGAGTCCGTATTGCACTCCAGCTCTAAAATTCATCCTCTTCGTATGAATACCTAAGCCTGTGTACTGATGTTCATTATGGTAAATTAACTTGTATGGTTCAGTCGGCCCACATCCTAAAGCAAACGCTCGAGTCGAATGTTTCCCGCGGAGAGTTTTAGTTATAATTCCCGATCAACTTTTAACTTTGAAGTAGTTCTTAAGAAAACCCAGCAGAGAAACAAATTCATTTATTTTACCGCTCCAGCAACGAGCACCACGTTAGTTTATCCTCGCAAATACCAACTCGAGGAGCTATTGTACCACACTACACCTGAATCATAGCACTCGCCACGTTGGGCATCGCTGACGTCTTAAGCATAAAGAGGATCTCGCAAAAGTTCTTTTTCACCAGTTCGTCGTCGTCGACGCTCTCCGTGTCGGTATCGCACTCGCTCGACTGCTCCATGTCATCCATGGTCGCGTCAATCTGCTCCTTCATGCACACAAGCGGCAGATCACGGAAAGCTCGGGCCTTGTCGGACAGTACATGCGTGTTGCGGGACTTGTATTTGTTGGCGCGGTACGGCCACTTGAAGCCGTGGCGCTTGCAGTTGCGCTTGATCGTGATGACGGAGACCTCGATTAGCTCTGCGGCCTTCTTTTGCGGCATGTGAAAGAACTGGGACAGGAAATCGTAGTCAAAGTCGTAGACGCGTCGACTCTTGCGCTCCTTCTTTGATTTCGAGGCTGAGCACTTGCGACTGGTCTTGGATTTGGTCTTCATCAGCATCGATGAGGTGGACAAAGTCTTCATGCTTTCGAAGGGGAGGGATTGAGTCGCAGGGGGCAAGTTGCGGAATGAGCCATCGAAAAGCGAGACGTTGCACTGACTGTGAACTCTCTTGTTTATCGCTGACGGAAGGAGACGGCGGGGGTCTCACTACTACTGTTCTACCTGCATGGTGTCGGAAGAGACTGGGACGTTGAAGCGAAATTGATGACACCAGATTTCGACTTATTATGGGAATTTGTAAGAAGACCCCCATCACAGTATGACACGCTGATATAGCGGAGCCACTTTGGGTGGACACAAGCAGGACGGGGCCTGGATCCAGTCGGAAGATGCGAGCTTGGAAGGCGCGGGGATCAATGCGCCCCACATACCGAAAAGTTCATCGCCTGTGTTAACCAGCAGAAGACGGAGCGGCCCTCAGGACACGCCAGCCTCTAACAGAGACCGAAGATAGAGGGCCAATATTTACGGGATCGGGTCCATCCGCATCGAAGACAACGGAGCCCACACACTTGAGGTGGACTTTGACGCAACGCGACTACAGCCACGGGTACAATCGGGATGCGTCTCGAGCGATATGGCGACGAGGCCTTTATAGCTGCCCCCAGTTTGTGATATCGGCCCTTGACTTCCGCTTCGCCTCTGTTGGTGACACGCAACGACACACTGTAAGGCATCCCCCCCGATTAGTAATGGCGGCAACTTTAGGCCTGATGTTGAAGATTTTAGGATGGCGATAATTAGGTATCTTTAGTGCCTTTTTGGAGGTGGTTGCTATGTGCTGTGTGAATAATTACTGGTGGCCGCTACTGCACCGTGCCTTGAGCGAGGTCCCGGTAAATCTGCAGAGAGCGAGCGCAGGCCGAGGGCACGATGTTGGAGCAGCCGCGAGCGCACGAGTTGCGCAGGTCCGGGAAGGGTGTTTCGTCGTCGTAGGCGCGGCACGCCTCCATGCAGCTCACGCCGTCGGGGCAACGCGAGGCCGACGCGGCTTCAGTGGCCTCCATCTTGTCGCACACGAGCTTGGTCACTGTGAGGGAGCCGTACGAACATCCGTTCATACACGCGGCGTTGTGCGGGTCGCTGGCAGAAGACATCACAGTTAGTTAGGGAGTGGTGGAATAAATCAAACACATTGTACATTTCGTAGCCTACCGCACGCAGAGCTTCCTGCACGTTTCTTCATGCCAGCGAGTCTGTACGCCGAGTACGCGACAGCGTCCACGTAGCACCTCATGGTCTGTTTCAATTAATGCTGAGTTTGCAGGCTCTGGAGTCGATACTGTGGCGGTAGCTTCGACTGGTTTAGTTTCGACATTCGAGACGTTTTCAGGAGTGACGGCTACTATGGGGGACATGAATCTGGCTTTCAACGCTGCAATGTTCTCTGCGTCTAATGCCGTTCGAGCGCCGACAAAGACGCCACCGCAGAGCAGCACGAAGACCACAAGTCCACCGAGATAGTTGGTGATTCTTCGACAACGCTTGGCCGGCTCCATCTTCTTCCAGTACTCATCGGCTTCATCTTCCCAGATCGTCGAACCTCCCCGCTCTCGGCCTGAGTCTGACACTTGGCCCACATTGCGCCGCAGGAGGGACATGCTCTGAGTCCGTGAGCGCTTCTTCAACTGATGGCGCTCAAGACCCTCTGATGCCGTCAGACTGCGTTTACTAGTTTAGACAAGGGTATTTTTACGCTAGACTTTTTCAGTTCTATTTCGAGTAGCACTACGTTCTTATGCTTGGCTACCACTGCTGAACTATCCGAGTCCATCAGCGCTTCAAGTTGATGCGCTGTCTCCACCCGTTTTACGTTGTATCGATCTCCTCATTTTGGCCAGTTTTCGTCGACACCAACGAAATTCGAATTTGATCCGAGTTAGAAAAGTCCCACGTAGTACCAAGACTCCGCTTGATGCCATGGGCCCCACTCGTCCTTTACGTGTCCCCAATGGCCGTGGCGAGTCCCAATGGCCGTGGCGAGTCCCAATGGCTAGACAGCGGGAAGATACGGTACTACTTATTGTTGACCCGAGGTGATCGAGATGGGAGGCATCTTCGCATATATCGCTGAGATTCCTGCTGGAAATCTCTATGCTGAATGACCCGTCACCAGTGAAGGGGTGCGCTGTCGTCGGACCGAGCGGACAGATGAACAATGCCACCGTCAGTAAGCGAAAATAAGATTCAAGCTGGACAAGGAGCCAACTCTAGTTTATGGTGTATGACGGCGTCGATAACTTGGAAGGAGGTTGCATCCGGAGCCATTCGAATGATGCTTCGTCCCGTATGATCCGCAGCAGTGGCTCCGCTTGTATGGAACGGGTAAGAGTCCACCGCAAGCACCCAGAATTTCGCGACTACCATCACGAGGAGCTGCGTCATTTGTGCTCTGGATATCTACGCGTCAATCTGGACGTGAGCTCTTCACACAAAGGGTGTTGGTACCAACGTAGTTGACTTCCCACTTGAACATAGCCCAAACAGCGGATGTTCCGACCTCCTTGTGACCAATGTCTTTTGGTTGCAGCTCTTGGTCACCTCTAGCTCCTTTTCATTATTCAATTCGCCTTCTCTTCAACAGACCAACCAACACCGTTAATCTTCACGCCATGAAAGCCTTTACTCCTCCACACTCGCCACCTTCAAGCAAGAAGGAGATCGAGTCTATCCAGCCTGTGCCCAAGAGTCGACGCAAATACGATTTCTCCATCAAAACACTTCAAGAATACTCGCACTACCGTCAAGACGACGCTGCTAAACTTCTCGGTGTGGCTCCGATCACGCTCAAGCGCATTTGTCATCGACGCAAGTACCGTTGGCCGTACCGTACCATCAAGGCCAGGCTCCGTCGCAGCGCTCTCGCTGCCCAGACGAAGAAAACAACTGAAGCTTTAGCCACTCGGATGACGACACCATCATCGCCTTCGCTGGTGGCTCCGGAGCTGCTACTCTCTTTGAGTAAAGAGAGAAAGACGTTCAACTCCTCGCCCACTGCGGTCAGCGATGTGGCATCTACGCCAATGGTTTGCTCTCCAAAGGCTCGATACCCGTTAACAAGCGAGATGTTGGGATCGAATCAACTTCCTCCGTTGACTTGGGTGCTACAGAGACATCGAATGCAACCACTGGTCACTCCGCCTCAGCGTTACCACCCGATGAACTACAAGAGCTCCTTCTACTCTGCTTCTTTCCCCTCGACAGCCCCCAAGTTCCCAATCAGGACTATGCTAGGTTCCAAGATGCACGAAATGACGCTGCAACTTCTTCTGGAACGCTCGCAGTCACGCCACCTCCCACACCAGACCAATCTCTGACGCCACCTCCCACACCAGACCGCAACCTTTAGTGTGAATATTTTTTTGTTTTGTATTTTGCGAAGTCATCTGAAGTTTCTTGTAATTGGGAATAGTGTTTAAAATCGTGCTGTTTTAAATGATGTTTCCTACATTTCGATTGAACACTCCAGACTGGAGTTCGCTACGCGGGCGCGTGGTCTTATATAAATACGACTAAGCTAAATCATAGTATTAGTTAGGTAAAAAAAAAATGGTAAAATCATCACTTAGATCACATTTGGCAGAAAATGAATAATTTGTTACTAAATCCCCGTGTATTACAGTGTTATCTACTGGAAAATCTCTCTGTACACAATGTTTTTGGTGTGCGCCGCGCCGTCAACAAAGTCTCTCGGATCAATGGCTGTCTTGATCGCCTTTCTGGATGTTACTCAAGATAGGGCAACGTATAGCTTTCCGTGTGCGAACACAGCTGATTCCAGGTAGAAACCTACGCGGTGAATTGACTGACCTTGCGCCTTGTTAATCGTCATCGCAAACGCTGGTACTACCGGGAACTACTTGCGTCGAAGGATAAACGGAAATTCTTTATCCTCGTCATCGCTCAGAAACACGATACGCGGGATAAGCACGCGTTGTCCACGTCGAGAGCCAGACATTATAGTCGCGTCAAGGCACTTCTCTCGCAAAGGTACCACTTGCAGACGCGTTCCGTTGCACAAACCTTCGTCGCTATTTAGATCCCGAATCATAATGATAGAAGTGCCAACTTTGAGAACCATCTTGTGAGGGGGCATTCCAGACAAATTGAGTGAGTTCAAAACCTCAGTCTCGAATAGGTTCTGATCTCAGGGACCGTCGAGGCTGTCGTTGGAGAGATATTCTCGTGTCTCTCCAGAAAATCGCTCAGCTACCATTTCGTTGATCCGACGAACGCTTGCATTGGTTGGCGCCAAAATTGCACGATCCACAAAGTACTGATCTGGCAAGTCAGCATCACCCACCCCGAGGTAAATCTCACCCATCAGTGCGTTGATACTGCAAGTGCGCTGAACAACTTCAGGCACGCCCAACTCGCGTTCACCTTCAGGATCCAATGGTAGAAGCCAATTGAAATTCGGGGCTTCGTACTCTGAATGATCATCAGAGGAATCTTGAATAAATGCCGAGGAACCACCGGAGACTGGAGTAACGCACATGCTCTGCGGGATAAAAATTGTTGTTGTCGTCAATATCGCGATTCACCGGATAGCGACCCTCTCCAATTTGAAGTAAGAACTCCGAAAATTCGGCCAACTCAGCAGCATCACCTGGATCAAGCGCCGTTTTCACACTCATATTCTCAATCAAGAGCAACTGGCGTAGGTGCTGTCATAAGGGAGACGCTTTAAAACACACCTTTAGCGTTTCAGCCCTGGTAGCATCCTTTAAGACCGGTAGGATTTGACGATGGTCACCACTGAAAACCATAACCTTCCCCCCAAACGGCTCGACTTCATTATTCGTGATGTCGCGAAAAGTTCGGTCAACAGCTTCAAAACACGCTCGACACATCATCGGTGCCTCATCCCAAATAATCAAACTGGCCCGGCGTATCAATTCCGCTTTCTGGCTCTGTTTCGGAATATTACACGTCAAATAGTCGTCTAGTTTCAGTGGAATCCGAAATGTAGAATGTGCCGTATGACCCCCTGTCAGCAAAGTTGCTGCAGTTCCACTGGAAGCAACTGCCACAGCAGCCCTTCCATTCAGACGTACCCTGGCAAATCTTGAGCAGCTTTGGTGTTTTCAAGTCCGCCTCTTCGTACTTCACGATCACCCCAGACAAACGCCTCTGCGTCTCACGGAGCCCGGGCTGAGCTCGATCTAAAGCTTCCACGACAGCTATTAGTGTCACATCTCCAGCTTACTTCATGCCTTCCTCCGCCCCATCATACCACCCCCTTTCCGAACGTTCTCCAGCCACAATCTTCTTTTTCAATTTTTTCAGAGCCCCAACCTTTCTGACCTTTAGATTTAGTCGTATAGACACGGGAGACGTTTGTGATTTCATGTTGGATTTCACACCAGAGCAGTGGAGCTTTCGGTTTGAGATGTATCGTCGTCACTACTGCTTATGCCAAATTTCCGCTTCATATTTGCATCGTTCGGGTCTTGTAGGTCTTCGACTTCAGCATCGCCATCGACCTCACCTTCAGGTATGTCCTCGGCGATTTTCTTCTGCCGGACGTTCCTCCGCTGACCCATCACGAACAGGAACATATCCTCGAACTCGGCCTCGTCTTCAATGTCTGCCATTTCAGCTGGCGATTAAATGCGTAACACGCACTGCTTCACCGTATCGCTCCAAGTGAGTTCTGACTTTCTTTGTGGTTGATCCAGGACTTGAATTTACAAATATTTTCGCACGCAAATTGACGCACTTTCTTGAGGTCCATCGTCGAATTTGTCCAACTAACAAGCACAAAAACATACAGATTTATTTAGCACTGATTAATATCGCTCCTACACCAAATTGTGTACGTATCCAGGACTTCACAATAAAGGTGCGATTTCAGCCAGAACGAACCTTTCGTCTATACGATTCCACGGAATCACCGGCCCGCTGACTTTGGAATGGCTCCGGTAAGCATTGCATGACGACAAGGCAAAATCATGGATGCCGAAACTCACAGTCGCATCTCCAATCATCGACGCAAAATTTGTGGTCCTTAAAAAGGCCTCTGACTGTGATTCCACACGATTCCTCAGAGTCCTCCTCGAATTTGTATCGCGAAGACTTCGCAAGGCCCCCAGCGTACTGACGTTCGATCTGACGTGCGACGTAGTGCGTCGTGAAACGAAGAGCAGTCGACATCTCCTCATCGTAGTTCGAATTGCGGAACTGACCAATTCGGTATTCATACTCTCTCTGCTTCCCCCGATCAAACGAAACCAACGCCTTGATGCACTTTTCCATACTCATCGTTCCGTCAACCCCTTCCTTCAGGGTTGAAGTGGGGGAGCGATGTACGTAGATAATACACCCAGCGTTCCATGCCCGAGTGCCAGTTCTTCTCAAAATACTTGACGAATTGATCCATACTGCTGCGTTCGCAAATGTCCTTCATAAATTCATGAGCCTCGTTGTACTTTCCCTCGGACACTGCGTACTCCATCTTATGCACTGCGGCGTCAATTTGGCTTTCGTCGTCAGAGGAGATTTTTCCGAACTCCGACTCATATCGCATCTCCTTTAGGTACTTGATCATGTGAAAGTGACAAATCAGGATCCGAGCCTCAGGAAAATTTGCCTCCAGCACCCTTATCGCATTCAAATCCTTGTCTACAACGATCACACGCACAAAGTTCACACGTGTTGGATGGAATCTCTTCAAGTGCGAAATGGCTCTCTCCATGTGCCAATCCTCATTAGCTTCTATAAGACAATGCTGCACAACGGCTCCCTCCCCGGACTCGTTCATCCCCATGAATGTAAGAAGCTGATAATTGTATCTAGATTCAATTATGGACAAATCCATAATAGTCCAGTATCATACAAGCTCCTCAAGAATCGACACGTACCGAATCGTCTTGTGGCTACAGTCAACGAGTAGAACCTCACTAAAACGCCCAAACACCCGCCTCATGTGCGCACTCGCTAGTGATATCACTCCGGTTTCTTCACAGTCAGTGTCTGCCACTGTCGAATAATTTTTCAGGATAGGTAGCCGCAAAAGGCGCGTGTCCTCTAGCCGTCGCCGCGTTGTTATCCACGTTTGCCCCAGAGGAGGAGTAATCTTGAAATAAATTATCAACGGCGGCCTGCACGATGCTCTGGTCGTGTTCAAAGTGATAGTCATAGATTCGACAGCGTTTCTCGCCAACTTCCAACATCCCCTGCACACGGGCACATACCAGCGGGTCGAATTCACCTCGTGACTTGGGATACGTAGCAAACGCGGCTGGTGAAACTTGGTGATTGTGGGAGAACAATCCACTTTTCACCTGTAACTCTCCTCGCACTATATTCCACAGGACCGCGAAACGAAACGGACAGTTGGTGAGCCGGATGTGCTGCCGTGACCGGCTGCCTTCACTACGGGACTTCCTTTTCTTCCAGCCGTGAGTGCACATGTAAGAGCGCTGGTTGGGATCGACTCCCTCCGGTACCAACTGATTCTCATCGACTCCTTTCTTGGTCTTCTTTAGCCGCTTGTTTCGTTCAGCTCGAGACATTGGCTTCTTAACGAGGATGACCTGCACCGTTTGCCGGCAGAACTCGATGAAGTCCGACTGCCAAGTTTCCCAGTTGGCATGGAACTTCACGGGTGGGTCTACGGACACAGTGGTAGCATTGCTGGCCTATGGCTCCGTGAGCTCAATGTACTTGTGGCCCAAGTTGTACAAATGGGTGAGCACCTATGTACGCACGTGTGAGATGTGTCAACGGACGAAGTCGACGTCGAACGCGGCGGCGCCACCTGCGGGTTTGCCGGTCCCCACTGGATGTTGGCCGTCCATCAGTATGGACTTTGTGTTTGACCTTCCGAAAGCCAAGGCGGGAAACACTGGTATCGTGGTCTTTGTAGACCGGTTGAGCAAGATGGCCCACTTAGCGGCTGTGCCGGACACCATCGAAGGTGAGGGTACAGCTTTGCTGTTTCTAGACAGATTCTTTCGCCAACATGGCTTGGCTGAGGCAATTGTCTTAGATAGAGACCCGCGGTTCACCGGGAAGTTCTGGACATCCTTGTTTAAGGTACTTGGCACACGTTTGGACGTGTCCGCAACGGATCGTCCGCAAACCGATGGTCAAACAGAACGCGTTAAGCACAATGAAAAGGTGCGAGCGCTGAGGAAAGCAACTGACGTTGCTTCTACAAGATTGGTCAAAAGTCTCTGGACTACCTGTTGAATTCTTCGCCCTTAAGACTGGGCCTAATGACAACAAAGCACCTCAAGTAACACCTTAATCAACTATCAAATGACGTGGTGCCAAATATCTGACGCTTAGATTACAATCGCAGATCAACAGAGGCGACGCAAGCATAGAAAGTTTCTTCGATGATTTTTTTTTAACTTGAACAATGCCGTGACCAGCTATTGCCTGGATGTCATGACAGAGGACCCTGACGACGTGCGTGGGTCGTCGTCACTCGTTATTCAGGAAAAAAAAATGTTCCCGACCGCTTCTATCGGAAAACGTTTCTCAATGAAGGTTGTGGCGCTACCTTAAACCATGCTGAGCGATCAGCAACGTGGTAGAGGACGACCAATATTATTCGTCCGTAGCACTGGCATTACAGCTTCTAAGTATGTATATCTACGTCCTCGGAACAATCATGACGGACCGCATTGGATTTGACCGCCAAGTCGTTGAAAGTCGCCGAACGCGGCCTCGTGGAGTTGAGAGAGGAACATTTACGTTCTCCCGCTGCGAGGCAGTGCCTACAATGGTTGCGTGTCGCTGGTGGGATAGAAAGCCAGTACACTATTTGGCCACGGGTTTATCGATGGAGGAGAACACGATTCAGCGCAACGTCAAGCGAACCGGGGCGATTACCGTGAAGTGCCCCAAGCTAGTGACCGATTACCAGCGCTGGATGGGCGGAGTTGATATTCACGATCAACTCCAGCCTGCAGTCGTTCTCAATTCTAATGGTTTATCGGTTTCGAAAGTACTACAAGTCCTTATTTTTAGGCTTTCTAAATCTGGCGATTGCAAATACTTTTATCACACACAAGGAGATATGCGGGATTACGATAACTGCATTAATGTTTCGTGCTGCGTGGATGAATGTCCTCCACAACCAGCTCCTGCAATAAAACCCGAAAATTTCGAATTGGATCCTATTGCTACTTCACAGTCATCGGCTCCCTCACGGCGAAAACGTCGTCGCCCTCCACAGCACATCTACAAACAGTACGATGACTGGGTCATTGTATCTGCCGTTCAAAAGCAAAGACTACGTGCGTATAAGGTATGCGCACCTCTTCGCGATGAGAGGAAAAATCTTTCCAGACGACGTTCGACTGCGAAGACTGCTCCGGTGGGGACGCCAAATTTTTCTCTGCCCGAAAGCCCGACGTGAGTACAATGATACCACGAAAACATGCTTCCAGATTTGGCATGAGGATTTTGAGTGCGGAAAAACTATTCTATGCGTCTCTAGGAAAACGAGTAGTCTTTCGACGTCCGGCCAAGTTCGGAACGCGCAAGAAAACGCGTCGTGAGTTGCTGCGGGAAGAGGGGGACGATGCTGATGACGAGATCGAAACTGCGTATGTAGCTAACGTTTAAAAGCCCCATAAAATGGGGGTTCGCTTGTAGTACCTTGAGTGCTGTTGTTTTATGTAATTGACTTTGTACGTGGGTAGTACATTTCTTGAATCAGGCTTAAGTGGAAGTCGTAAGGTTAGACTCCTCAATGTGTTGCCGGTTAGGAGAAGTCGTAAGTATTTGATATATGGATACTAAACACTTCAAAACTTTATTCACCATCGATGATGCATCCTACGGCAAAAGGGACACCCCTTTACAATAATGCTGTTATTATAACGTCGTAACTTACGACGTAAGGTTTGCACGTTCAGAGGCTCCATTTGCGATAACTGAGGGGTTAATTAATGAGACCTGTTGATTGGAGCTGCGAATCCAGTTATAATAAACAGTCTGAGCGGCGTTAATGCAACGTTATTCCATACTTAAGTATGGCCTACAACACCACAACAGCTCTTGCGTGCAATATTATCATTTAAATGCATTTTACACTGGTTTTTACTGGTATATTGTCAATTTCATTATCATATCAATGTACTCATCATTAAAACGTTGGACCAAAATGTAGCCATATGTTATGAGGGTTCACCGATCTAAATCCTATAGCAACCGTTAGATATAAGGGGTAATATCGGGCGTAAATTTGAAAAACGAGGTCAGAAATAGCTGAATCGCAGTCATTTCTGAGCTACATGCCTATTTTGAAACGCTTTCCAGACGCCGCAGGTTTACCGTAAATGGGTTGCATTTGGGGACGGCATTTGATTGGGCAATTCGCCAAACCGGATGTATTTGTACAAGAAATACACAATGGAACACAAGAAAATCTGATTCTGATGCTAACCATTTGAGCGCATAGGAAATCCCAAACATTTATTTAAACAGGTACCTTATCTTCCGCGGCCATGGGTTAGATCTCTGCCGATTCTCGAGCCCGCTTAACGTACTTATTCTCGAAACCTTGTGCATGTCTGTACACGTTGCCCCATTCCTTCGACGCGATGTCACTTAACGCTGCGACGAAACACCTCTGTTGTAGGTGGGTTTGGTTCACCGGTTGGCGAGCTTTATTCGATGTAGTATTCTTGCAAAGCCACAGAATTGTTAAGGAGGTGGCACTTCTTACCGACGACTTGATGAAAGTCGAGTTTTAACTATTCAGGATCGTATTCGCGTTTCTTTCCTCGCTGGCAAGGCTTTGGCTTGTAAATAAATAATCAGAGATTAACGTTACATAGCTGATAAGAAATTGACACCACAATAATGCTGATGCGCACCTCGAACCTGGCGTCGTTGTCGGCTCTATAGGCGTTCATCACCGTCGTGACAGCGCCGTGTGTTACCGGTAGACTCGCAGTAACAAGGTCTCGAATTCGCTGCACTCTGAAGAGGCCTTCTCCCTTCGCTTTGGACATGAAGTCTTTAGAGCGTGAAACATAATCCTTCTGACCTGGGGTCAGCTCTTGCTGCGTGGCGCTTGACTCGGACATCTGTCGAAATAATAGTTCTAACTGCAGGTCGCGTTATTGTCTTTGTTTTGGTAGTTACGCTTGAAGAGTAATTACTAAAACAAATGTCTCATGTCGAAGTTTTATTTCATTTACCTTTTTGTACTTTACTCCCCGTACCTATTCAATATCCTGCACGTAAGCTCGCGACATTTGCTTGCCTATCTCTATGACATCTCTTTGTTTGTCTCTATCAGCGGTCTTGATCACAGATGTGCGTGTAATAATCTATAGTTCTCTCAGTCGCATAACCTTAGCGACATCTTTGAACATTGGTTGTGAAGCCTTGTCCTCATGAATGAATTAATAAGCCATAGCAGCAGCCATTATTCCACGACTATTTCCGTCGGGCTGCGTAGGCGCTCTAACCAACGCATCTCAATTTGTGCAAGAAAGGGGTATTCTTCGGGTTCCCCGTCTCCAATACCAATACTCAAAATTTTGTGTGTGCCATGGCTGTAGATACAGCAATACCTTTGCCGTCGACACCTCATCTGCTGTAATTTTGAAGTGTTCAAAACAGGGGGGGGGAGTAATAATGCTGTTTAAGCACGTCGTTCGACAACGACAATTAGAAATCCACTGGAGCACTCTCCAAGTAACGATTTCAGGTTGCGAATGAAGGCAGCTGCACCAGTCTTGTTGTCGATACTGGTGGAGTCTCCGTCTGTTGATTCTGGTGCTCCAACATAGACTTCAAACCTAACACGGTAAGTTACGACGTTAGTGTCCCAGAATTGCTAGACAAGTCATAAGTTCTGACTTTGTAAAAAGATACAAACACACCTGTGGCAGTAAGCTGTCTTTGAGTCGCAAACCATAAAAAGTTTGGTAGCGTACCGATGAGGTTTATCTGACATAAACATCCGCGTAGTGTCCCGCCGAGATGCCTTTATCGAACGAAAACACTGCTGGCAATGTCCAGCCAGACTGGAAGCGCTGCTGCAGAATGTCTACGACCGGCCGCAGTTTCCACATTTTGTCTCGAGTGCGGGGTGCATTGTTGTTTGTGAAATGTAGATCGCGTAGGATAGCTGTACATCGATTGCGTCGTATATATTTACCAAAGGTACCAGCAGTTAAAGCTCCATCACACACCATCGCCCAGTGCTTCGAGAACCGTTGCTTGTGAGGGCACAACATATGCGCAACAAGAAGCCCGACTACGTAAAAAGATTTTGCAGGTGTCGTACGCGTTTATAGCCCTCAGACGCCTTCGTATCTGCAAAAGTGTTTCTGTTGATGCGACATGGTTGCTACGCCTCGGACTTGCACGAAAATTTTTTGGCTTCGATATCAATGTTCTGTGCTCGATAGCTGTTGGTTTCAGCCGCGATGGTGACCCACAACTGCTTTGGCATAAAGTAGAATAGTAACCCTAGTGGTGTAGTTGCCATTTCCCATAGCTCGTGCGTAGGAGTCGCTTCGTCACTTGAAAGCTCCTGGTAGCTCGGCCTACCAATTTCGAACAGAGAGCGGTTCACCCCACTTCGTCAGGCGCAAGGCATCCTTGTCGATATTGGCAATAGACAGACTTCCACCGAGCGAGGCTACGAATGCTTCGTCAACTAGTTTCAGCTCATCATTCGGAAGTGCATCGTCGCCTTCAACATGTTCCCTGTGCTCTACCACATCATCTTCCTCACAGTCTTCACCGCCATCATCGCTGTTGCTGGAGTCCATACACTTGAATTCATCGGAGTGTTCACCTTCTTGTATTCACATCGTCCGCTCTAACGTGGACAGCGGGTGGAGAGGTATCCACGTGTTCTGAACCATCGTGCTTGCTCTCGTTGTCCTAAAGATGGATGTGTCCTATGGATTCAGCTTCCGACAGCACTCGCTGGAACCCGCCAACGACGCCATCTTCGTCTGATAGCTCGATCTGACCCGATGACTGTTGCGCGATGTCCACGGTCGATGCAGCCGCTTCTGTATCAGCTCCGGCGATCTCCTTGTCAGCACCACTGTTGCTCTCAAACAAGGCATCCAGCGTAGGCGCGGACAACATCAAAAAGCAGTCAATTTGAGATGGGCGGGCGTTTTCATGTGGCTCCTCTCCATTTCTCGTCACTGCTTTCGTCCAGATTGATAAGCCCAGCTGAAAGCGCATACCTAACAACCGCGTCCTCGCCTTTGAGCATGTTCACAGTTATTACTTAGATATAGAACGTCAAGGTCTGAATCATATTGATCTGATTCTGATAATCATCCAAAACGCGATTAATCGCAGTATTAAAGCGATTACTGGAACAACCATTCAGCGGAACTTTTAGCTTGGTTTGGATAAACAGATTGGTCCAGCTGTTGTCACCAATAAAATAAACCGCAACATATCAAGCCCTTTTCCATACACATTCAGAACTGACTCAATGTGCTCGATGTGAGTATCAGCCGTTTGGCTCCCATACATCGGGGAAAGCGCGAGCAGCCACTGGTACCGCATGCCATTCATCAGGTAGACCGTGAAGATACTCAGGAAATTGGAGAGAGTGGCTAGTCCACTCATCGAACATCAGGCAGAAAGAATTCCCCATATCAGAGGAGAGTGTCTCACCAACCTTACCTGTAACATAGCGCATGCAGACCTTCATTGTTCTAACAGTAGTTGATTTTATTGTTACAGTCTCACGAGTGAGCTTGTTCTTTACCTCCGTGATTGGTAGGTTGCGCTGGATGACCCAGCGCATCCACAAGTAGATATTTAGCGATACTTCGTCCACAAAGCCGGACATGCCCATCGTGGACGTGGCAGCGGCTTGGAGCTCGGTGTACTCCTCCACGTAGCCCGCGTACTCGGTATGGAGGTGATCGAGAAGGTTGCTGTAGCCAGTTCCGGGGGCTTGACTGCGGCTGCAGCTGCACTCCCTGCACTCGAAAAAGCCATCGCCAAGGTCGGCGTAGAAGAATTGATATAGCAAGTGCGATAGCATTGATTTAGAAGTGGTGGGGAGGTTTGGAAACGAGCCATCGAACTCGGTTTGGGTATCAGACGCTGCCTGAAGTACAAGCTTCAAACGGTTGGTGGTAGTGGCTGCAGCAAATAGTTGGGCAGTGAAAAATTTCTATTGTATTTTACTGTATTTTGTATTAGACTGAAACATGAGAGTATCAGCAATATGTTATTCCGTCAATATAATATCAGTGTTATTGATATTATATTATTGTCACCATGCCTTTCCTTCAAGCGATAGTTAAGTTATAGGTCGACGACACACGACTCCTTCCCAGCCTATTATTTAGAATACGTAGTGTCGAGGCAGTATGGAGTAAGCTGTAGCTAGTCCCATCAAGATCTATGACAATGTTTAATTTGTTTATCCGATGCTGCTAAATGGTGCCTTCAAAGTTCGGTGGCAATTTCAGCGTGGCACCTGCAGGTTTTTGCACTGAATGCGGGCCTGTACTACAGCAAGTTTGTGGTGCTGTTTCACTTTGCCTCAAGGATCGCGGCCAATGACGCAAAACTTGCTTACTACGATAAGTTCGGCAAGGGCATCGCTCAGAGACATTGAACGAACAAAGTGACACTGCGTTGTTGGTGGAACGGTGTAGTAAGAATAGGCAATTGCAATAGCTTCCTTGTGCACACCTCGTACCGCTCCAGTATTATCTGTGGCCAACGGACAGGAGCCGGTGGACCCACGTACGTCTGGTGTTCTATTAACGCACACTAAGATCGAATACACACAGCACTTCCACGCACAATCCTTGTGGTCGTCTGCCGCTACGAGTCTCTAGTGCTCTTGCACGTCGTCCAGGGCTGCGTCGCGGGCTAATCTACCGCAGTGGGCTAAACTACCACGAGGGCTCCGATACCTTTATGTGACTGTCCGGCACCTCGTGGGTAGGCTCGTGATACTCCTCTCGACCGCACGGGGCTGCAGATACCCGTTTCCTTCTACACACTAGAGCTTCGTTCGGTCACTACGCAATGCTTCTCCTGTTACGGCACTTCACTTCGGGGCTGCAGATGCACTGCAACTCAGCACGTTCTCTTCTTCAGTTCTCCTTCTTATTCAGCGGTTTAACCTCGCAGCTGTCCTCTCTCTACTGCACAGCAAATCTAAGACTGACTGACTACTTCACATGCATCCGGCCTCGCGGCCTTTCCGGATTCTGCGATCTTCTACAGTTACGACCTTCTGCGGTGAAGGAGAACCTCTCAATCCAGTAGCATGTTGTTTCTCCTCTGCCCACGGCCTTCTGCTATGCTTCCACCACGCGTCCGCTCTCCTTGAATGTACCCAGACCGGCACAACGTCCGACGGGACCTTTGTCTCCGCCGCCACTATTGCCGTCATCCTTCAAGTCTTCGCTGCCGATCCTGCTGATCTTCTATGTCCTTGTCCCGTTGTCCTCCTGATTACTGCTCCTATTACTCGCATGGGCCTCCTCCTCTGGCTGTCCCAATCTTCGTCACTTCTTCTGCTGTCTGCAATCACTTCTGCTCCCCAAAGTATTCCATACTATTACTGCGTCTTTGATCCATGACGTGTTGGAAGTTGATAATTTTTGCTGATTATTCTCTGTCGGCTCACTAGAGATAATTTATTTTGGCTTCTAATAGCTTTTCGGTCGTATCTGTTGAGATCTTTGGGATGGAATCCTGATACCAAGCAAATGTTTGTTCTTCTTTAGCCTTGTATTGGTACAGTGCTCCGTTACGGGGCATGGATAACAACAGAACTTGTTATTTTGACGAGGGATTGGCAGGGGTGTTAATATAGTCACTGTAAGGGATGTTAAATCGCTTTCCCAAAATTGAGGCCTGCCAATTAACGAGCAGAACTGCACACTTATCTGCTCTATACCCTGTTTTGCAGATATGTAAATCCGTGTAAGATATTATGATAAGCTAATAGGGAGAGAACATTCCAGCCGCATTTCACAATAGATAGCAGTCGCAAAAAAGTTTGTTTTAGTGTATGACTCACATTTTTGTGAAAATTCGAGTTAAAAATGAATTCGTAATTATTATCTTAAAAAAAGTTTTGTAGAATGGAGATGCTAAAATTTCGCACTTCGCCTGCTTTATCCAATAAATCTTAATCTCGTCATGACTTGAAATTCACCGGAGTTAGTTACCGAGTCGGCATCTCTTTAACACTTAATACGCCTGCCTATGTCCACCCTCGCCATTCTGTCAGCCTGCATCCTCTTCCTAAGTTGGATGAGTCTGCACTGTACAGCGGAGTCAAACTGGAGTTCATACCAGGCTATTCTAAAGTAAGTTTTATAAATAAGTCAATGTCTTATCGATAAAACACGATATTATTGTGAATATCTGAGTAATACAGCTGCGAGTCAGTTGCACTCAAGTTGACACAGTTAGATCCGAAATAGCGCGGCTTGGACAAATTGTGCGCGGTTGCTATGAAAACGCAACTGTTTGCTCCGTATAGTGTTGTTTGTACCCAATACTTAAGTCACAGATATCCTAGCTATACATCCATAATTCGCGAAAATCTCACTTCTTGCGACTGTGGCCTATTTACACGTTTAATCCGATGCATTTCTGGCTGGCTGCATTGCAGGTTGTTACTAACAGCTGTGTACGTGTCAACTGTTCACAATTGACTAGTCTAACTCTCTCTACTAACAGCCGTGTTAGAGAGGTGCATAGAGGATTGTAGAATGGAGGCGTGCTCAGCACGCCCACATTCTACAGCACGGAGCTGCGCCTTCGCTTCGGTCCCGTTCATTTACCGGTACTGTATGAACAAGCTCCAAGCTCCCAAGCTGTCATCCCCCCCCCCCAACAGGTTGCTCGCAAACTTGCCTCTCGTCGCCCACCTGCCTCATGTACTTTGTTTCCCGCGGCATGTCGCCTGGCGTAGAATCACCAGAACGCCGTCCAACAAACCCACTGCGAGCTCGTACAACGCAGGGAGAGTTGCGACTCGAGCCGCCAGCACGACAATAGAGAGTTTTCGCAGCTTTCCCATTCTTATGCTCATAAGGTTTTGCAGGGGCAAATCAAAGCAAGGTGTCAAATCTATGGAAGAATGCCTAGCCTTTCCATTCCTAGCAGCGTCTTTTGGTGCAACTTAATTTGTTGCTGCAACATAATCGAGGTGGTGCTCTTAGCGCACCATTTAGGTGGCGCCCTAATCAGATCCATTTTTCAGAGCTGTTTCTCATTTCTTCTTGGCTAAAGTATACTTTTGACCTCCAATGCGTCGCAATAAGGCCTAACTGAGTCTCACAGGAAGTAGCTTCACTCCACAGTTGCGCGGCGTTTGCACCGCCAACTTCGCTTCGCTCGTGGCGGATTAGATTGTAAGTTCTTGTTTCGGGACCTACTCCGGCCTACGCGCCGTCCCCTGACAGACCTCCGCTGCGCTCCGGTTGTCATGGCGCCTCTCCAAGGCCTGTCATCCACGTCGCCCATCCTTCTGTGTGAAACAACTAGTTTTTTTTTGTGTGTCAGTACTATTTATCTCTTTCTATTCCCATAAAAATGTAAAAAGGTTCATAGACTACAGTAACAAGTGTAATTTGTCTGGTCCAGACGAATTTGTTCGGGCGTCTCGAAGACCCGGTTCCCAATTAGTCTGGCCCAGACCAAAAAAAGTCTTACTCTACTCAATGAGTAAGTACTTACTCAGAGGCTCTGATGCAGATCAAGGCTTCAATTCTGTGGGAGGATGGCAACCGGAAATTTCCCGTAGAAGCTTCAAAAGTGTGGGAAGCTTTCTGTTTTAACGCATATTGCATTCGATTGGCATTCACTGCTTGCGTGAGTCCATAATCCGTAAGGACGCAATCACATACGATGACAGTACATTTGTCGATCAGGGCTCCGTTGGAGTTGGAGCCGCTCGGACTGTGGCCTTGCCTACGCATAACATAGTACATTATAAAGTCCATGTACTGGGAGTTGGTGACTAGTATACCTCCAGTGCCTCCAGTGCAGTGACGACAGCAGGGCTGATAAATATCCAATAATTCCGTGCAATAGAGCTTTGCATAAGGGGTGCGTATTGTACAGAGTTCTGACCAAACCTGCCCAAAACCTTGACTGTGTGTACTGAATATCACTTGTTATCCCATACTCTGTTAAGAAATAAATACCATCGTCTAGGATTCACATTCTTTTTCAAATTTAAGTAGGGTAGTTTTGACTATTAATCCATAGAACTTATTCGAATGATTGCAATAATGCAATATGATAGTGGGTACGTACCCTACTTTGTAACAGAACTTCCTTCAGTTCTTTTACAGTGGGGCGGTAACCCGCGCGGGTTCGTATCGCCATGTTACCTCTTCCTGCCCGAACCACTTGGTCTGGGTCCTCTACCCACAAAGAATGCCAATGGCCACCATTTCACTAACGCTCTGCAGCAGTCTCTAAATAGAGGCGTCAGAGCTGCTGAATTTATTCTCGATGTTGGCATGGACATCACGAAACATTTTGTCGCCCTCGATTCGCTTTAGACGCTCGTCCATCGTTTGACAGATAGCTTCGCCTTGGGTTGTCTTTTACCGCGCTCAGAGTTTACCTCTATATGCAGCGGAGAAAAAATAATACGATAAACAGAGACATAATGTACTTGACTTGCCGTCCTGGAGGCTACTGATGCTGGATGAGTTGTGGTTGCCAGTAATTCATAGCAGAGATGCAGTGCTTAATTTTGGTCCAATTAGTCTTGTTTTGACTAAGTTTTGGCCAATCGACATGCATTTGGTTAGTACCCTTGCAATTATTTTCAGCCAGAGGAAGTTTATTTACTTTAACAAGTATTAAGTAAACGACTGACAACCCAATAGGTACGTCAAATTGCTCTGCTGGACTTGAACAGATCACGAAGATCAAGGGAAGATTGACAATACCAGCTGCGATTCGCTTCATGATAGGACTGAAGGCAACGGTATGTACTACATGGTACATGTAGTGTCCTAAGTATCAATACTATACAGATAGAATTCATTCCTCAGGTTATTCATTTCTCGTTCGTCTCGCTACTGATCAAGTCAATCCGCATCGACTCCACGTACTTGCGATGCGCCTCAACGCCATTCTTCTCGTCGCCGCGGCGGCCTTGTTCGCTAGCTGCGATGCTGTCTCAACCGCAAGCCAGACCAAGCTATCGGCCATGAACCCGCCTAATGCGGTACAGTCGATGGGTGTTGCTCCCTATAAAAGACTCTTGCGAAGCGAAAGTCAAAAACAAACCGACGCCGACGATTCTGAAGAAGAAGAAGAAGAAGAAGAGAGGGCACTCGTCAAGGTGGGTCTTTTAGACGACGCGGTGAAGAAAGTCAGTGGAGTAGACGACGCTGCAGCGCAAAAGCTGGCTGCTTTGAAAATCAAGCAGCAGAACGAGGCCGACGATATCACGTTTCTCGCCAAGTTCTGGATGCAGCAAAGAAAGATGCCTTCTGATATCGAAAAACTCACTCAAAACCCGGTCGTGAAGAAGGCCAACCTAGAGTTTCTTGCGCTGTTTTTGAAACAGAATCCGAAACAGATTCGCGCGGAGGCCGCACGAGTCCAGCAACGAATTGACAACGCCGACCCCAAGGTCAGGTTTCTCGTTAGCAGTTGGATTTTTCAAAACAAAAAGCCAGAGGATATTTCAATGCTCGCCAGCAATGCAGTTAGTAAGGAAGCTGCTGACCTGTTCAATGTGCAGTACGTGATCCGCTCGCTGATGTCCACCAAATGAGAGATGCATCGTTAGGCTGCTCCTTCGAGCTGTGTTACCGGTCTCACATTACAAGACAAGAGAAAACATGATCATATTGGTTTTGCGGAGTTCAGTGTATCGAATTGCATTTTACGTGATCTCTCTGAGAATCTCGAAGTTTGAGGTAAACGGTGTCATAATTACAAACCGAATAAAGGTACACATCTTTCGAGGTATAATGTATTAGTATTAGTAGTGTACGTAAGTAATAGAAGAAAAAGACTCGCTCTAGTACAGCGAGTCTGTTAATAGAAGGCTACTCGAACATGTATCAATTTCTCCGGAAGATAACACAGGTTAGGAATTACTTGTCGAGCAGAAAGCTTACCGGTACTAGTACTAAAAACTAAGGTTGAGGCGGGACTGGGATAGCATCAGGACACTGAAGCGTTATTAGGTGTTATCACCAGGTCTTCTTAATCCTTTCGTTATTCCATACATTTCTATATTAAGCTTCCCATACTGAAATCAAGTCACGAAAGGAAAACCGTACATCATGTATGCTTTTAGGTGATCGAATTAAAAATTATAGGGCAATTTTATATTAGGTATGTCAGGTTTTCAGCGACCCTTACGGACAGTGGTGCATTTGATGCTCATGGTGTATCGCGGAACTAATTGCCGCAATCTTAACGCAATGCACTGCTGGAGAGGAACTGACTGACTGTATGCAGGACAATGTTGTGTCGTGTAGGAACACGTCTAAATTTTGCGTCTGCTTGGTACTCCCACCCACAACACACGCTGAACCCTTAAAGGCTCAGCGAAAGTTCGGGCGAAGCTTCGACCTGATGGTCTTGACTCTGCCCTAGCACCGGGTTGATGATTAGACTCTGCGCGCTCCGACTCGGTCGGTAGGTCCACCGATATCTTTCAAAGCAGCGACTAGTCCACGAGCAAAGACTAGGCTGCTATCAAGCACACACTTGCAGTAACCTCGCTGGCCCTCAGTAGGGAAGGGTCCAGGGCTTGTTCAGCCGGTAAGCGAGGGCGGCCGGAGCTTGGGTCTCTCGGCCTGGTGGTAGTATTGGAAGCTCTTCTTCGCACTCCACAGGGGTCGGACGCAGTCTCGTCCTCAACACTTCGGCATAGCACACGGTCTTCTCCATCACGTCTCTCGACTTTGCCGGGGTGGGCGAACACGTTGATCTTCTCAGCCAGCGTGTCCACCAGCAGGCATAATCCTATCGATCAAGCTTGACCTGTCGCTACGGTCACTTACCGCAGCCGGACTTGACTTGAGCGATCGGGAGGAAAATCTGCTCTGTTTGTTGCGCACAAAGGCGCTTATCTTCTTATCTACTCTTTCCTATGTCATATACAAATATCTAGTGTGAACTTGTCCGTTATGGATGAGATCGGGTAACCAACGAAGTGTCGGCGACTGTTGGGCGTGGTCTCAAAGAGTCGCCATCCGGATACCATCCGGTTACGACCAGTCGTGTCCAACGGCCAACCAGTGGTGTGCACCACACTGTCTCGTACTAATGACTGTCACTTCACTGCGGGATCTGATGAGCCAATCAGCGATCGGCCACACATTTCACAAATCTGATCCGTGTCAGTCTCCAACGGCAGCAACAGCAGTGGCGAGGGCGCCTCCGATTCTGGGCGCTTTCCGACACCACAGTTGGGAATCGTTGCTTTCGGAGTCTTCAAACTGGTGAACAAGGAAGGCCGGCTGGCTGGAGGAAGGGAGATCTGGAGCAGCTTCCCTTTATGCTCATGCTCTACGTGACTAACTCCAATGTCACGTGCGTGGCGTTCTCGAGTGGTGCTGCCCTTACGACGATTGCTCTGATTGGTATTTTCCACAGATCGGTATATGCATACATTCCAGATCGACAAGAAGTGTAGACTTAAGAAACAAAAGCAGTAGTTTCTTTTCTTTTATTCTTCTTCATTGGGGTTTCGGTAGACCTTAATACGCGCTGAGAAGTCCAGCAGTTATGGCTCAAAGAAGAAGCCGTGCCGCTGAGCACCCGTCCCCGAACCCTCGCCCTCGGCAGCAAAGCAGAATGAATGCGCCGAGTGATGCAGATGCGTCACGACCAAGTACAGAAACACCGGCGGACACTGCGGCTCCGTCTGCACAGACTGCCCAAGCTTCAGGCCCTGATGCGATGTCAATGGAGCAGTTGCTAGTGTTTATAACGCAACAGTAGGAAACCGCCCAAGCCCAGATGTTAGCTCAACTGCAAGCGCAAATGCAGCAAGCTAACGCAAGATTAGAGTATCTGATGGCGGCGCGGGTGATCAGAAGAAGAAGGACCCGCCGATGTATGAAGGCAAATACGGCGAAGATATCGAGTTGTGGATCTTCGCCAACGAGCAGTATTATGCAGACAGACGTGAGTTAATGGAGGCCGATTCGTCCGGTTTCGTAACGATTATCTCCAGCAACTTAGGCAAGTCAGTGTTGAACTGGTATCGCGCTTTTATAGCCGAATCTGAGAGAGCGAATAAGAATCCCACGTGGGTGTTGTCTAAGCAACAACTGCGCACGCGCTTTCGACCAAAGGACTTCGAGTACGATCTTCGCGAGAGGATGTTTCGTCTCAAACAAAACGAGACTATTCACGAGTATGTCTCCAAGTTTCAAGACTTATTGTCGCAAACAGAATTGGCGATCAGTGAGTTGGAGAAATGTCAAATCGACGGGATGAACGACAACCTTGTAGTCGCGAAGCTGAACCCGTGGAGTCGCCGGCCAGGTAATCTGCCATAGAAGCGATGACACCGCGCAACAACCCTCCGTGGATGCAGCAATCTCACTCAAGCAGAATTCGATCGAGCTGTCCGAGAGCCACGCTCGACAAACACTTCCAACCACGGCTTCGAAGCGAATGGTGACCTTGCCATACTTCGTGCCATATTCGCTGCGATGACGGCAGTCTGAAAACTTTGAAATTATTCGTTGGCGAGGACTTGATGTCGATTACGAACGGTCTCTCGTGTAACACCCTAAGTTTTTGTTTCCTTTGCGAAAAGGTCAATATCCGAGTCCGCCTTAATTCAGTTCCTTTCCAGCCACTTTCGATCTTCGACCCAAGACTTGGTCTTGGCCTTCACTCTGTAGAAATCACTAGCTGCATTTACATATCGGCTGTAACGAAGTAGCAATCACATTAGTAAAGCAACCCTGTATAGCAACCATACCGATAATGCAACCGTACCTGCAGAACTTTCAGAGCTTTGGGTCGATTGTTGCAACAATGTCCAAAACAATACCTTGCAGCGATACATTTGAGTCTAGTTTGTCGGGTTCGCGCTGCTCCTTCCGTGTAGTAGATATTGCAGCCTCCATTGACCGTGTAAGATCCACGGGAATTACAAAAGGGTGCATGTTGTCCTCAGACCTCATCACTTCCCACTGGCACTCAATCACACGCGATCTTAGATAGGCATCCGTCAGTTGCACTGGGTATTTCTTCATCATAGCCAAGATGTTCTTCATGTTTTGTGTATTGCGGGCCCACGTCACAAATTCATGCAGCTTCACTGTTAGCCCACTGGGATACTTGTGTACAGCTAGCCGCGATGCACCTGGGGAAATCTTTGTTTGGCGTAGCTGGGTTGGCGTGGTCCGCGACAGATTTCGGCGCTTCGGCTTTGGAACATTGATGACGTCTACTTGACGAGGTGTATTCCTATCGTCTCGAATATCACCCGCCTTGATCGAGTCGGAGTCAGAAGTCGGCTCGCCAAACCTAGTGGCACGAGTTGCAGTTGGTGACTTCATTTTTTGTTCTTTTGCGAGTTGTGTTGGAGGGACGTCATCACCACTGCTGATACCGTCCGTGGTATTATCCTGGTTTTCGGTTTGCAGATCTTCCATCAGTTTGACAGTTGCCATTGGCGTCTGCTGGATCTAGAATAGAACTCAAATCATCATCAACATCTTCGACGTCTTCAACTTCTCGATTCTCGTGATCGGCAAACACAGCACCTTTTTGTTTGCTCGTGATTTTCCAAGGCGCAGACCTTCTTCCAATGTGTTTTTCCACGCCTGTAATTCGTCGTAAAAGTTTGCGCTGCTCAAATCGGCTAGATGTCCAGCAGAGGCTCAACCATTGCCTTAGCAAACGTAGAAAGAACAACTTGGTTTGCACGCCCCGTCGTCGAAGGCGAACATACACAATTTGTTTCGGTGACGTCTTCGGCGCTGACCTGGTACACAGACCAATATAGGTTTCATCCGGCAACCTTAACTTCGACATCCGCACGACCGAACACAGAGTATCCGCAGCAGCCTCAAATTCTCCTGTAGATTTCAACGCTACCAATGCACTCCACCGTTTGCAAATTGTCATAACAGGAACCATCTCGAATCTATGTCCTTTATGCGCTACGTGCATGCGATGCCGACACGGCAAGTATTTGGACGTTGAAAACAGGCAGGTGCACTTCCAGTACACGTCGTCGCACTCAAATCCTTGGCTGTGACTGTAAATTTTCCACTTCGAAACCGATAATGTCTGAATAAATGTTTTTTCCTCCATCAGATTCACAAAGTGTCCCCATTCCCACCTAATTGTCTCCAAGACATACGCTGATATTCTGCTTCCAACTGCTCTCAAAAACGTCGGCACCGACTTAGGCCTCCGTGTAGTCGAGTGTAGCTGCCCGATCTCCGAGACAATCTGCTGCGTGACAGTCATCTGGTGCTGCAGCAATCCAGCGATGGTCTAATCAATTCTTGTTTTAAGCCCGAGGGGCATCTTGAGCTGGTCCCAATTTGATGCGATCCTGTTGGTAATTGTATTGCCAGCAGTAAAAAAAATGTTTACCACGTGCAAAGTTCGATCACATCTCATTGCATGTATTCCAGTTCTTGTCAAATATGCAAAGAAAGCGAGTTTCTTGTTCTTTGGCAGAATGTTTTTAGGCTCTTGTAGTAAGTGTCGTATGCGTCCTGCGTTGAGCTAAGATAACAATTAGTTAAGAAGATAAGAGAAGACACATGTATGGAAAGAACCGTAGCGACATACCTGAAAAGCAGTTTCATCATTAAGGCAAGTAGCTCGTCACTCTGCGCGATCTTAATCCCGTAGACAGACCTCTTCATCACCTTCTTCCAGTAGGAGATTGCGTGGAACTGGCAAAGGAGAATTTTCGCGCTGGGGAAGGTCTCTTCAAGTACCTTCCATTCAGTGAAGTCTTTAACAATGACCACGCTCTAGATTTGATCCCAGCGCGAATTCTTTTCCTTGAAGTACTCCAAAACCGTGGAGATCATCTTCGCTTGCTCATTGAGGCAACTGAAATCAACCACAGGGAAACCACGACCCGTGCATGTGGTGACAATCAAACTCCCTACAAGCAAGGAAATACATGATGATCAGCAAGGTTGCGATAGCGGGTAAGGTGGCCACAACGGTTGCTATATCATGGGTAAATCCATTGCCAATGTCCCCCCCCCCCCAACGCTCAAACATCATCTTTTGCATTTTTGTCTGCATAACAACATCGCACGTGACGTCAAACTGGTCTTGGATTACGAGAACATCGCTGCCATCAAGCGGCCAAAGAACATGAAGCATATACTTGAGACGGTCTTCACCGGAAGAGTGCCCCATGATGCTACGAAGCAGATTGCGCGTCAGCTGTGGCGTCACTTTACAGTCTAAGAAGAGGTTGACATAATGTAGCAAAAAATTAAAAAAGTTACATTACGTACCAAGACGATCATTTATAAGCGGATGATGTGGGAAGACGACACACGGGCATCAGCAAAGGTTTTAACATCCTCGGGATCTTGGTCGTCGAGCGGTAGAGTATTGGTCGTGAGGTAGGAAGAGGCCTTCGTGCCTGTAGTTGGATGTGAGTGCGGGTGGTTCTACAAAAGTTAGAGTCAAATAGATAATGAGCACGCTTTCGTCACATACCTCGTTCCGAACAACACTCTTGTAGGTATTGCCCACACAGCGAGATACAACGGCTGTTAATCTTGCCTTGCAGTTACAGTAACGCGTCGACCGGTTGCGGTGACCTTTTGATGTGGAGACTTGAGATACTCCATGCGTGCAGCGGTAGATCCTCTGGAACCACTCGAACTCGGTCGGTATATGGTCTTCATGGGTGCTTCAGATACAGTAATCACCTTTTAGCCCTTAATTTATAGCCGAAGCTAACAGCAAAACATACCTGTTGTAAAAAGCCGTCTTTTCTGAGCTCCGCACCCGAAACATGAGTTTGTGCTTCTTCTTGTATGAATCGAATACCTTCTCAAATTCCTCCCAAGAATTAATATTCTTGGCCGGCCCAAACGCTGGAACCATATTTACTATCCCATCACCACCTGGGTTCATTGATTCTAGCTCTGTGAGGTGCTTGCTCACGCGTTTTCTTGGCAAATATTCAATACTTGATTGCACTGGTGTTTCCAGCTTTCTTCGCTTGGCGAAAGAAGGCGGCATTGGTATATGAGGTGAGGTGCGCTACAGCAATGTTTTGGTGGCCTTCGAATCTAGCAACAAGCAAAACGTGAGCATGTTAGATGCTAAATAATGCAACCCCTACGCATACAGCAGCCATACCTGGTGTGACGTTGCCCTGTGTTTTTTTGTTCTTGTTGCCCTGGGCTCTTGGCTTTCCTAGATGCATGTACACCCCACACAACAGCTCAGCAACTGGTGTAGAAACGTAAATAGCAGCAAACAGTCTTACCGGCAGCTGTTGTGCTCCCCTCGTTTGGATCGCCACAGGAAAGGTCCTCGTCCTCGTCTTCTTCTTCATCATCCTCTGAAATGGCCTCCAACTCGTAGTCCTCGTTGCTGACGTCGTCATCCTCGATCCCGAGCGCATTATACGCGATTTTCAGTTGCCTGTTGACGCTTCGCGCTCTTCGGGTTTCTATTCGCACACAAACACATACAAGCGGTAAGAATTACAACCACAACTCAAAAGTCCAACTCATGTAGTCTACCAGTCATCGTCCTCTCCTTTGCACGCTGTCGCCCGTACCCGCAACTCCAACTAGCGCGGCGCGAATCCGCCGCGTGGCCGTCGTAGCGCAGCCCAGTTTCAAAAAGCTCAAAGCAATCGTACTAAAATTATTTGATCGTACTTAACCGAATATATTCGTACTTAGGTGATGATATGGTATTTTAAGTGGGTGTAAAATACTTTTCTAAAATATGATTTATATTTGGTTGGGTTTTTTTTGTGAAATTCTGGTATAGCAACCGTAACTGAATTAAAGCAAGTATAAATGTCCCATATTAAGGTTGCAGTAAGGACTCCGAATAATGACTCAGGTCAGGATCCATAAAACAGACAGTCTCATACTCATTATTAATGATACATTACATTAAGTACAAAACCTAATTCTCAAATTAGTCGCCATCACGTGGTACATTGTACCGTGTGCGCTGTGTCCGTGTCTTCCGGCGGATTGTGTCGACTGTGGACAACGCTTTCGGTTCAAGTTGGCGGTGGCTCTGTGAGTGCGTCTTCTGGTCTGGCAGGTGATGTTGCATTGTCCAGTGGTATAGCTTCGATAGGCGTGGCGACTTCAGCCGTCGATTCTCTTAGCGATAGCGCATGTGAAGCTCTCGTCGGTGACGGCGTGCCTATTCCATCCGACGCAGGCTCGCAAGGCAACGGTGCCATGTCCATTGTGAGTGGTATTTTCGCAAGCGACGCCACCTAGAGCGGGTCGTGGCGATCAAAAGTGGAGAGTCGGTTGACGCTGTGCGGGGGGTGGCGGCGCTGTCTTCGGAAAACTCGTGGGCGATTAGCCCCGTGCCCGATGAAGTGTTTCTTTTTTCCAGAACGGATTACGTGAAGAAACGGCGAAGAAGATCAAAGAAGAAAGTCTTTCAACGCTACAAGAAGCCATTGAAATTGCGTCGAACTTCGAGTTTGCGCACTACTCGGGAAAACCTCCTCGGGCACCTTCAAAACCATCGAAAGGATCAGCAAACTCGGGGCATCTTCCGCCTAAATTGAAACAGCAGAACAACAAGCGTTACGAAAAGAAGAAGGGCACGAACGATGATTGGAAGAAGAAAGCTACGTGCAAAAATTGTGGCAAGGTTGGTCACATTTCTCTATATTGTAGTCAGCCAAAACGTACGGAAACAAACCGGTACATGCGATCCTTGAGGCTAAAGCTTGAGCATTTAAGACGGAAGACCAAGAGAGGCTCGTCACGATATTCACTGACAACGGCAGTAGCCTGAATGGCGTAACTGAGGATTTAGTGGAAAAGCTTAAGTTGGATGTCATTGAAGGTGACATGATGCAGATTGATCTTGGTTATGATCAAGTTGTGCATCGTCCACGTCGGACTGTAGAGATGTCTCTGCAGTTACCAGGGTTTCCCTTAACGACGGGAACATTCCAAGTCATGCCTGTTCCTGAAGGAAAGGACATCGTTTTAGGCATGATGTGGCTGCGGGAGCAGAACCCAAATATCGACTGGAGTACTGAACAGATAGCACCTGGCATCAAAGTGAAGAACACGCAGACTGTGAAGTTGAGACTGCCGAAGACACGTCCAGCCCGTTGGGTGGCAGAACAACGCCGTGTTAGAATTAAGCAAAGCCGTGCGATCTTCAACTACTATCGGCAGCATGTCCACAGTAGTCAGTTTGGACGAACGAAGATTATTTCGTCCCAGCGATTTCATCACGTGCTGCGTAAGGACAAGGACATTGAAACAGTGTTTGTCATCAATCCGCATGTCTCGGAAAAGGCGGAACGCTTCAAGAGTCAAGGATGGGATGCTCGCAAGGACAATCCTGCGTATGAAACGTTATGTAAGTATGCTGATACAGTTTTTCGTACGGAACTTCCAAATTAGACACCCCCAGTACGTGGAGGTATTGAGCATGAGATTCTGCTCAAACCTGGTACTACGCCTATATCGGTAAAACAATGGCGCCAAAGTCCTGATCAGAGGAAAACGATA